ATTAAAAAAGCACACTACTTCGGAGGGATCCAGGAAGGAAAGATTGGCTTTTTCGGCTTTGGTTAAGTCCTTGGTTAGTTCAGTAATTTGCTCGGGGGTTCGGACCAGGGCTTGCTTTCCATCCCGGTATTGGATGGTTAAGTTGGTAGGCTCTTCTAGGCCGTTGAGTTCGTAGGAGAGCAGGCTAACAGTTAAGAATTTGTGGGGGGTGATTTTAACTAAGGCTGCTCGGCCTTTTTTGCTGTTTTTTCTTTCTAGGTGGCCCCAGTTGAGAACGAGGGGACAGTTAGGGTTAGTGCATTCCAGGTGGGAAATGCCAATTAAGCAATTATGCAAGAATTCTAGCAGGTTGGCTTTTCATAAGTCTTTTTGAGTAGGTTTTTGGTCGTTCATGCTATTTATTGAGGGCCTCCTTTATTAAAGTGATTTGCTTAGTAAGTTGTTGTTTTTGCTTGTTAAGATGGGTTTGGTGTTTTTCTTTTTGTTGGTTAAGGGTTTTAAGTAGGTCAGATTTGTCGGCTTCAAGGGCTAATATTCTTTGTTTTTGGTCTTGGTTGGTTTGTTTAAGGGTTTTGTTTTCAGATTGGAGATCGGAGAGGGATTTTAAGGTGTTGGTGAGTTGGAGGGATTTTTCGGAGAGGGTTTGTTTAATATGCTTTATTTCATTATCTTTTTGTTCGGTGATTTGTTTTTTTTGGCTTTCATGTCAGGTTTGGCTGGTTTGGAGGGCTTCGAGGTGGGTGTTGGCTTCGGTTTCTAGTTCTTGGATACGGGCTTGTTGCTCGGCCAGTTGTTTTTCTAATTCTTTTACTCTGGCTGGGGCATCTATTTCGGCTTTTCATTCGGCCAGCAGTTCTCTCATGGCTTCATCTTGCTCCTGTTTGAGTGAAGAATTTAATTGAAAAATTTTTGTTCTTGTAGTAGCTTTTTCTCAAAAGCTTTCATCTTCTTCGGACTTGTCAAAAAAGCAATCTAAGTATTTTTTTCCTCGGTGTCTTCCAGCAACATGCTGGACTTCTTTGCTTATTTTTTCTTTTCGGCTTTCGTTTTCGTTTAGCCAGGTTTTAAATTCTTCTAAATTGTAGTTAGTCATTATTCCTCTCCTCCTTCCAAGTTGGCTAATTGCTCTACATGGCTGTTGAGTAATTGGGTTAAGATTTCTCTTTGTTGGGCTAGTTTTTGGTCTTTTTCGTTGATTTGAGTTAGTTGTTGGCTGATGGTTGTGGTTTTTTCCGTGAGTTGTTGGTTAAGGTTAGTGATTTGCTTTTGCTGGTTAAGTTTGTCTTTTTGCAGGTTATTTATTTGAGTTTGCTGGTTTTGCTTGTCTTTTTGGGTTTTTTCTTGGGTGTTTTTTAGGGTTTTGTTGGGTGGGGGTTTGGTTTTGGGTTTGGCAGATTAGTTTTCATTCTTCTCAAGTGATGTCCGGATATTGTTCGGACTTCTTTTTTGGTTGAGGAGTTTCTTCTTCCTCGGCTTCTTCATAGGAGGTAGGAATTCATTTCTTCCGGCCGGAAGGCAAGGTAATGAGGGTTCCCGAGGCTCCGAAAAGTTTGATAAATAAAAATCGGTAAGTTTTAGGATCAAAGTCAAACTGAAGGTATTGTAAGGCTCCTAAAAGTTTGCCTAGTCAGGTTTTATCTCCCCAGTTAGTAGTTTCGTCATAAGTGGGCTGGTAAGAAAAAGAACCATCCTCGCTGGATACTCTTCTTCCCGTAGTTTCTTCTCGTTCGATGGCTTTTAATTGCTTTTGCTGTTGCTTTAATAATTGGGCTCTTCCGTAAGTGTCGGAGAGCAGGTCTTCTCCGGGAGTGTAGGGAATATTAGTTCACTCCGTAGATTGGGGAGTAGTTTTGCTTTTTTT